GAAAAAATGTATCATCTACATAAAAGTTTCAAAGTGTTAATAAAACCAGTTACATCAATTAAAGATCTATTTGAAATTCTTATTGATTCAAAATATTGTTCTGATGATAAGAAAAAGAAAAAATCATCAATATTCTTTAACAAACCACTGAAAATTAAAGTTACTAATAATCAAAACAAATCATTATATTTACATTTTAGTGAAACACAAGATTCCGAACAGATTAAGTTTGATGATCAAGAACAATTAATTAATTTATTAAAATATGGTCGAAAAAGTCTCGTGAAAATGAAGAAGAATTCGAATAAATCATTGAAATTTAAATATCAATTATCAGATTTGGATTTCCAACAATTGATAAGAGATTTATTAGATAAGATTGATCAACAAGAATCAAAATTTTTGGAATTAATTCAATTATTCAAAAACTTAGAATTAGTTAATGAAAATGAATATAAAAAATTAGATGAAAATTTTCGAAAATTATTACCGGAAACAAGATTTTGGGAAATATCAAAATCAGTTAAAGAATTTCAAACATTTTTAAATCCTCTCAAATCTCGATTCAAAGAAATCAATAGAAAAATTCTTCAATTGATATTTCTGCGAGAGAATATTTATCGACAAAATCATTATTTTTATTTAGAAGAATTAGAATTTTTAACGATTTTAACGCATCAAAAAACAAATATTGATCATAACCTAATGATTTATTATCGATTATCATATTTATATAAATTAAAAGGTGATTTACAAATGGCAATTCATTATATTAATTTGGCAAGTCAAAAATATAATGAAAAGATCAATAAGAAAATTTTTAAAAAAAATGGAAAAGTTCTAAATAAATTTATTAAAATTGGAAAATATTCAAACAAATGAATTAACATTTTTGAATAAAAATTAAATGAATCCATTGCAAATATTTAATTTAATAAGGAAATTTCATTTCGAATCAATTTCATATTTGACACTTGGATTTGATCTATTCAAAGAAACATCAGCAAATGCCACTATTGAATTGTTTATTTTATTATTTAATTGAAGAAGATGATATTGAAGAATATTTAAAAAATCACAAGAATAATTTAACACAAAAAATATCATGATTTTCAAAATCAACCAATCAACGAAAGAGAATTTATGGAATCTTTTAATACGAAATTTGGAACAAAGGACAAGTGGCGGTAAGGCCATTTTTTTGCCCAAAATATTTTTGAAAAAGAATTACATATTCGGCATCAGCATTAAACTCTGAGTAAAATGAGGTATTTTTTTCTGTCGAAAAACGACTTTCGTTTTTTAGCTGTAGTTTCGCACCTGTAGAGGACCCCAGGAACATCGAAAAAGTTTTTTTCAAAATCTTTTGATCCGTATCATCAGATGCGGAATTGGATGCTGATTCTGAATTTCTGGTCAAAATTCGAAAAGTATGAAGTTTTCATCGAGAAAAATCAATATTACTGCAGGATGTTAATAGAAGGCTGTTCGCGGTTGCAGGCGTTAGAGAACCTGCCGACATTATAAAGTCTAAAATGTATGCAGTCGTGTGCCAGTTTGCTTTTTTAATTAGAAGCATGTAAAAAAAGCGATTCAAGGCCAACTTTTGAATAGTTTTGGGATCAAATATTCAAAAAACCAGCAAAAAAAAGATTTTTGGCACCTTTTGACCTAATATTATAGGATAATGAAATCTTAAACCCATGAGGGATACATATGAATCGATGCAGTTTTTCATGCTCTATGCGAATATGACTTTAAAAAGAGGGGAAAAAATGTGAAACATGGTCAAATAATCAAAGATACAGCAAAAACCGATTTTCGCTGGTTTTGGGGTATTTGACCCTAAAGCTATTCAAAGCTCGGCTTTCAATCGCATTTTTGCATGATCCTGATTGGAAATGTAATTCTGTACATGTTTTGTATATTTTGCACTCCTCATGACGTTGCTAGGTCATCTGATAATAAGAACCGGAAATGGTCCTCTGTTAGCACCTTGCAATAAAATAGGTTTTCCTCGATCAAAACTTCATTGTATTTGATTTTTAACATGATATTTGGAATCAGCATCAAATTCTCTATCTGGTGATGTATAATTCGACAGAATTTGAAAAAAAAGTTTTTGATGGTCCTGAGGTGCAAAAACAAAGGTGGAAAATGAAAGTCGCTTTTCGACAAAAAAAATACCTCATTTTACTCAGAATTTAATGCTGATTCAGAATATGTAATTCTTTTTCAAAAATATTTTGGGCAAAAAAATGGCCTTACTCACTTGTCCTTTCAAATGTTTCATATCAATGAAACAGTGAATTGGAATGAATTCACTCGTAAAAATAATGAAATACCAATAATTTTGATGAAAGACTTGAATTCTTATACAACGGCAAAACATGCCAATCATTTCATGTTTTTAACTATTTTATTAACAACTTATGATGTTAAAAAGGATTTGAAAAGAATTTGTTCAAAATTTCTCGATGATGAAATAAGTAAAAATATTCTCACAGATACTATTGAAAATAAGAATATCGAAAGTTTTATTCAATCGATGATAGAATGTAAAAGTATGAAAATCTTGAATAAAGAAATTATTTTTATTTAAAAACTGATAATTATGATTAATGTTGTTTTGATTTTTGGTCAGTTATTGCTGATTTTGATTATAATATTAATATTTGAACAACATGAAAATAAACAAAAATATTTCATTCACTAAATCAATTAAAAGAAGGAATTATTAAAAATTTAAGTATTTATGAAAATGTTTCGTCAAAATCAAAAAAAAACCAAGAAAAAAATTTGATCGAAATTATATCATCAATTGTGATGATATAGATGTTAAATTTCAGAAAATCATATTAAATTGTTTTGATATTGATTTATTTTTCGATGATAAAAATGAAGAAGAGATTTTTATCGAACGTTAAAAACGAGTGATGAAAATAGTATTCCCGTTCAATTTCTTTCAATTATTTAAGATTCATTCGAAAAGCCTCAAATAAATCTTAAGAATTCGATTCTAATCGTTAAAAGTTACAATATTTTCTTAAGCGAAATCATGGTGAATATACAAACAAAACTTAAGATATTTAATATTCAAGAAGTAAGATTTTATGCTACTAATGTATTTGTAAACGTATCATTGGAAAATGAACATTGGTCCGGAATGAACTTGATAATCAATTCGGATGTAATTGATTTTGTTACGGATAAACCAAATACGAAAATAAAAGTAGATTTAACAGGAAAGAAAGGTGCCGATGGCGCAAATGGTAAAGACGGATCACATGGAAAACGATGTGTCGAAGATGGATTGGATGGTGTACCTGGTGAAAATGGTCAAGTTGGTGGAAATGGTGGAAATATTTGTTTTGTTACTAATAAATATTTCAGAGAACAAGAGAATATAGAAAAATTGATTACATCTGGAGGCGAGGATGATAAAGGTGGAAATGGAGGACATGGAGGTAATGGCCATGATGGAAAGAATGGCGATCCTAGTCCAAAAGATCATGCGTTAGGCTTTTTTTTCTTGGTTATGATCTTAAAGAGGGCGAACTTGGTATACCAGGTGGAGATAGAGGTGATGCAGGTTTAGGCGGATTTGGTGGACGTGCTGGTGAGGTTCATATAGAAGAAAATAGAAAGATTATTCACGATAATTGTGAACTTGTTGACAAAATCGAATCAATCGATAAATCGAATAGAAGTGCAGAACATGGAAAACCTGGTGAAGATGGAAAAGGTGGTGTAGGAGGATATGATGGTGTAAGTTCTGAAGTGAAAATTTTATTTATGTATATATTGGAAGTAGTTAATTTACATGCAATTTGAACGAATGATTAACGAAGAAAAAGATATAGAAAGTAGTGAGAGAAAGATATGATCGCATTTTTCTTCGATAAGAGTTGATAAATTGAAGAAAACGATACAAAATAAGACTCTCTCAACAATGTTATCAAACAGGTGTCCGTTGTGTGCTGGAGAAAATCTGGATTTATCAGTATGTGTTACATGCGCAAAATTAAGTAGACAAATTTTTTTCGTAATTTGCTTGATTAAAACTCAAGAGGCACGTGGTAATTATAACAAAATGGAAGAAATTTGCACAGCGCTAAAACCCATATTAATCATTCATAGTTTGGAATTCGACCCAACTGAATACTTTAATCCAGGTGTACATGAGGTTGACGAAAGTGCCCAACAACATCTATCCTTTTGTCAAGATAACAGTAGCGAAGAAGAAACGCCCTTGTATGGCGATGCATATGTTAACTATTTAAGTATAAAAACAACCGGCAATGGTAATTGCTTATTCAATTCTATTGCAACACTCGCAAATATGACAGGTAGTTTTGCTATTGAACTTCGCGTACATTGTATTATAGAATTAACTCTCGAAACGGCGTATTACGTACAAAAATACACAAATTTATTCTTAATCGATGAAGTGGATGATGACTGTTTTCAACAGTATATCCCTGATGAAGAAAATTCTCTTCCTCAATATATCATCAACGATTTAATTAGAGGCACATCATGGTCTGATCGTTGAGATATTTTTGCATTATGTAGTATCTTGCATTGCAAAATTCGCTCAGTCTATCCGTTTTTAAACAAACATGGTAAAGATGATGCTCAAGCACTAAACATGAATCAGACCTTTTCACCACGTACAATTGATCGAGCAACTTTACCAACAATACGGATATTATGGATGAATAATGGGATAGAACCAGAAGATGTTGGATCAACAGAACTGTGGACACCAAATCATTTTGTGCCACTTTTGAAATCTAAAGCATTAAAGCCTACTACAAGCACAATTACTATCGACAGAAAAGTAAGAGAAAAAGGCATGCATAATGAGACTATTAGATATGCGTTACTAAGGGTAAAAGATGGTCACCCTAATTTCTCCATCATTTTTCCGATAATATAGGGTCATTTATAGTGATACTTACACCAAATAATCTCCACACTACCCATCATTCTGAAAGTATCTTTTTATATTTATACATGTTTTTTATCAGAGTTCACTTTTTGAGAATGATGGTGAAAAGGTTCTGGGCAAGCAAAAATATCATTCAGAGAAAACGATGAATAAACGAAAAGCAAGAGAGTCTGTAAGCCTAATTAAATTTCTTTTTTGCATATGATTTGCTAATTAATATAATCATGTTGCAGACAACTTCCAGGTCAGAAGATGATACACTTAATGAGCCCAAAACAACCTCGGAGTCTATCCAGGTAGAAATATATCAGACATAGATACATGTTTGGGAAAAGTATTGTTTACTACTTTAATTTCATTTAGAGCTATGTCGGAAAAAAAAAGCCAAACTCCCTTACAAAAATCCAAAACTTGTTGCCACTTAAAATAGTAGGTTCAAAACAGTTTGAAATCGGATCACATCAAGATATTACTATTGCTCTTTATACTCACATAGAAAAAACGAATGAAAATTGCCGAAAAAAGTAATCAACGTATACTGTTGTTTGATCAAACGAAGTTTTTATCAACTGACGCTAAATTAAATGAAAAAGTTATTGTTGATGTATTATTAGACGATATAGAGAAAGTTCTACATGTATTTGACGAAACTTGTTCAAGGGCTAATATGGAGAAAATTGTTAAAAAACAATTGAAACGTGTAGCGAGTAACAACAAAGTAAAAAAACAACACTCAAAAATCGGTGAAATAATCTATCAAACTCAGACAACATTTACGTTACCAGTTGAACAAAATAATAATTTTGGAGACACTGAAAAAAAACGACAACCGCCTGCAGCATGGCTTCAGCCAAATTTCGTTCATTTGTTTGACCTTATTAATGTGGACAGTGAACGAAACTTGAATGAAACAGCGTCCAGGAAGGCTGACTCTTCATCAGACGATTACAATTCAGAAGAGGATCGTTTAACAGGTGGTATTTTGGAAAATTCAATTCAGTTTGACTCACACATTGAATACATACGAATCACTCTACTCGTTGACATGCTTGATAAACGCTTCTCACGCTGCTCACAAAGTTTGTGAGCAGCGTGGCTCAGTCAGCTAGTGGGCAGATTCAAAGATACGGAGTTCGAATCCCGGCAACGGCGGTCGCGTGATAGTCTTGGACAAACTATCTAATGCTCATTGTCTCGGTACCTTTCGGCACAGATGCAATGGGGTAACCCGATTTCAGTAACTATTGGACTGGTGAGATGAGAATTAAAGTTTAAAAAAGAAAAACATTGATATAATATTGCTGAACTATGGCTGGAAGATATAAACATTTCCTTTTCGTCAATGTTACCCTTTCACCATGAAACAGAATAGAGCATTTTTTCTACTTTGTCCAATAAATCTCGATTATTTTGTTTTCATTTTAGATTCAATAACTAAACATGACATGAAAATAAAAACAGATAATAGTATGATATAAATAATCGCTAAAACACAGAAAAAGTATGTGCTTTCCTTAAGTCGCTTGCGCACAGAAAGATTGATTCCTTCCTTTTCCTCTTTTCATTTTAGGATGAAAATACATATTCGTTGGATGAATTTCAGCAATCATATTTATTACCAATAATCGAAATCAGCTAAATCTGAGATATCTTTGTGAGCGGCTTGCTTTCTTTTCTCGAAAAGTCGCAATTAGCTTTCACTTTATTTTTTTTTATTTTACAATTAAAAACACACACATACTTACACACTCTATATACATATGTATATAGATACATCCAAGCTACTTATCGTTTTACAACAAAACAATAAAGAGCAGGAATTACAATCTTCTACGTGTATAAAAAAAATGATGAGACTCACTTACAAAACAATACTGCATTAGACAACAATTTAGGATCATTACAAAAACTGTATGGATATGCAACTCGAAAAACAGAGGAAGAATTAACAATTTTTGTATTTTTATCTAACCAATACTTAGTATTGAATATTCCTTTTACGAGTTTAGCCATAGTAGCTGTACCCAAAGAGTTGAATTCTGGATAAATATAAAAATTCAATATAAATTGTTTTAAGTTTGAGAGAAATTTTGACGACAATAATAATTCCCATTTATTTGCTATCAGATACGTAGAATCAGTCGTAATCGTTAATTTTTTTAAATTTTGACCTAATTTCTGTAGTATTATTTGTGTTTGTTCAAATGGAACGCTTTTACAAATATTTAAATTTAGTTCAGATAAATATGGTAAAACAATAGATGTTGGAATCGAATAGATTTGAAGATGATGACCTGCCGTCTTTGTCTCGTTCCAGAGTGCTATTGTCAATGATTTAACATTTGTTATCGACGGTAGTACATCAAATAAAAAATGATTGACAAATAAATAATCTCTACAAAAAGTATTCTCTAAATAAATAATCGGTTTCTAAATATTCTAAATTTTTTGCCACTGGTGACGCTGTTACTGGAGGAGTATGATGCTCAGAACGATACAAATATAGTTTCAATGATTTTAATTTGTTTAAACTAAATATACGATGCATTTCATCATGTATGCAAGAAAAAAAAGCGGGTGGAGGAACCAACGTGATTTTTAACGATGTTAAAAATGGTAAAGAAGATAAGTGTATAGCTGCATACAAAAGTTCAACTGGATGTAAATTTGTTAATGTAACTGAACGAACATTTTGAAATAATTCAAATAGATATGAAGAGTAGCGAAGAAACATTTCAATTTGATCATGATCAGTTGTTAATGATACAACTTTATTTAAATTTGATTTATTAATGAAAGATAATTTGTTGATAGTTTTATTGATAAATAAATGGGTGTTCGCTTGTTGTAGAATTGACTCAAATCTACTGTTTAATCCTTGAAACGAACAGTATAACGAATATGAATCCAAAAATTCAAATAATGTGTAAAATAGTTCTGAAGGAAACGATTCCAAAACGGTAATATTCGAGTTTAACGACATGTTTCGTACTCTTTAGTTATCTAGAAAAATATTAAAACAAACAAAAAAATTAATGGTGTCGACTTTAGAAACATCGTACAATTTTAGATACGGTCTCAGCCTAGACTACAAGCTATGTGCGAAGTCAGTTAGAGATGGACTATAAGAGATACTTTAGTACTGTTCTACGTCTTGTTGTTAACGTAAAAGTATTCAAGCAAACTTCAGATTTTTACATCCTTCTATCACCGGCCCACCGTCTACAAAGCTGTGAACAGATGGCCATCAGCTTTTTGATTAGCCAGATCCGAGGTGTAGAATATTCTGAAAGCTTTACCAAGTCCCGGTTCTCCAATGTTCAACATACGAAGGTATGACGTCAGATCCCTCAGGACTCAAAACTCTTGTTTTAGGAACTAACCTAAGTTAAAAAGCCAACAGTTTGCAAATTTCTTTTATTTTTGTGCTCATCCGAAGTGAACTGAATCTCTATTCATTAGGTCGCAAGCCAGTGAAAAAGTGTTCAGAAAGTGAATTTAATGGCATTAGTGGACTTGACAAAAAGTCACAGAAGAAAGGTGTTACCTAGTTTAATAAGCTGGAATAATCTTTCTAAGTATAACTGCCGGACACTTTTCTTTGAAATGCAGTCGTTTATCAGATATGAAACATACACACTTATGCACTATGTTCACAGTATGCA